AAGTTTTTAGCTTCTTGAGTTATCAGGTTCAATTTCAATTCTTTCTTTGTTTTATTCAAAAACATAACAAGTTTCTCTCGTCTCATCGTTAATTTTATCAAACTCTTATTATAAATAATATAGAATTGGTTATTGAAGTCAATTTGACACAATCTCTACATGGCTAGACTAACCATCAGAGCTCTTTCAAAATAATATGTTTACAACGTTGAGGAAGACAAGTAACACCCACCCGGGACGGATCCAGAATTGTTGGTGAGCTAGGGTGGCCATTGGCCATTGACCGTCAAAGGCTACAATAACAAAACAATTTATTAGTATTTAATTAAATAATATTTAAAAATTCTTTAATCAATATATAAATGCACCAAACATAAAAATTATATACATATAAAAATATAATCAAATACAACCCAAAATAATAAGAAAAAAAAATACATAGATCATTTGAGAAAATATAATCCAATACAACCAAAAATAATAAGAAAAAACGCAAATTAAACTCAATTTTAAATTTCCATTAATTTTCAATACAAAATTATCATTTACCACAAATAAAAAATTCCCCAATCTATTATTTATCACAAGTCACAAATTCACAAATTTTCATAAATCATAAATAATCACAATTCACATACTAAATTATTACTAAAATGATCAATACATATTAATTATCACTTCAAGATTAAGTTCTAAACTAAAATGGCATCAAAATGAACTAATAATAAAAATAAATAAAGAGGCTAACAGTTAGCGATGGCAGCCTGTAGACAGTAGCAGTATGTCGAACGTCTGCAATAAAAAGTCAAAAGGTTCAGTTGAACCACAAAAGCTCAAATCCCTTTTTATACAAATTGTAAATGCGAAAACAGAACAATGAATAAAAAAAAATTCAAAAACGGGGTGAATTATCCAGCGTAGAAGACAATCTATAACAAATACACACACACACCCTACAAAAAAGTACATCAAATATAGAGTTCCAAAACAAATTATGAATCAAGAACCTCAAATAACCACCAGCAAAATTGTGACAAAAAATTAGAAATAGTAGCAAAATTCAATTCGTACTCGAAATTGAGACTTTCAATTGGGCAAACGTTGGCGCCAACATAGCAATCTGAGGTCAAGCGATGGTGTCACCACGTCAGGGCTGTGGGAGGGAGCTTAGAATCAGAGATAGACTTGCTCGCGGTTTGGTTTGCTTTCTGTATTACACTTAAGGGGAAATGTTTTAAGGGTTAATTAGGCCAAATACCCTTCAAAACTAACAAATTAGAATAATACCCTAAAACTAATTATAATCTTTAACCCCCGTAATTAATACGCTCCAGAAGCCCCAAATCATCATCCCCAACACTAGCCACGGAACCCTCCACCGTGAAATCATCGAGCTCCGCTACCTCTTTATGATTAATTTAATACAAAATTGTCTTCTTCTCAGCAACGAGCACCAGGGTTTCTCTACACCAAAGCAAGAGGAAGATGCACACCCCAGTAACTCTCTATCTATGTCTATATCTTTCTTACAATTTCGAGTTAACTCAACGACTAACAAATTTGATTTTATGATAGGTACTGGAGTAGCAGGACAGAGTCATTGCCGAAGATGGTGCCTCAGATGTCGACGGTGTCCAAAGTGTTCGGTTCGCAGGCGTTCGAACGATACAGATACTATCTGACGCTGCTGGAGGCTGCGGGGAGGAATGACGATGGAGATAATGTATTTGTGCGGCTGGTGAAAGAGTCCACGATGGCGCTGCTAAATTCATACGCCAGAAAATTTTGGTGATGTTTTCATTTTGGAGCCCCAACCATGGAGCTCATATCAGGTAACATTAATTTTGGTGATTGAACGTTTTAAGGTCGAAGTCACTGATGTTGTTGTTCAATTACACTTTGAAATTTGAAATTCGTGGAATATATCTGCATTTTTGTGTACGTATGAAGTTATGTAGCCGTTCCCACCAACCGTTATGATAGATATATTTCTAGCTGGCCTGGATGCTGGAGTATTTTTCCAGAACAAATAAAAAAAAGTGAGATTGGGTGACTATTAGTTATGTTGGAGCTCAAATGGCAGTTGCTTGTTAACAAGCAGACTCTCAGTGGCTTTGTTACTGAAGATACATAGGCTTTCTTTTAGTTGTTAAATTGATTTATGTATATTATGCAACTCTGTTTATTATTATTGTTCATGTTCTGAGTTTTGATTAAAATTTAATTTAAGTTCCTTTTTCGAATTTGCAAAGTAGGTTGAGGTTTCGAATTGATGGAATGAGATACTGAACATGATGTTTGTGTATGGACGGTGCATTGCAGTGGCTATAATAAGATTGGAAACTGGAATATTTTTTGATTTTGCTCTCATCGGGAAGGAATAGAGAATACTTAGTTGAATGATGAATTTATTTGGCAACGGCGTTTGTGGCGATTATTGCAGCGAAGAAGGCAGCTCAGAAGGTGTTGAATGATTTGCAGTTGCAGCTCTATGTATTGTGTAAAATTGGAACCGAGGGGCTGTGTATTGCTCCCTAGCCATCCACGCTGAAACTCATTGTTTTTGCCAAATGGTGATCATTGCCCGAGAAACATTAGTAGTGCTAAAGAAAATGGAATCCATTTCGATTTTCAAGATCGAACTTGAACAGAGTGAAGGAAAGAGAAGGAAAAATTTAATGGTTGTTTGGTCACTGATGCGTTTCCTGTATCGATTTTTGCTTTAGTAATTTGACAAACAAGAACAAAAAAAACTTATTTAGTTCCCTG